CGGTGGTGAAGACACCAGTGGACTCTACGACATACTCAGCACCGGCCTCAGCCCACTTGATGTTGGCGGGATCTCGCTCCTGGAAGATGGAGATGGCCTTCCCATTGATGTTAAGCTTCCCGTTCTCAGCCTTGATGGTGCCATTGACCTTGCCGTGGGTGGAATCATACTGGAACATGTAGACCATGTAGTTCAGATCAATGAAGGGGTCATTGATGGCAACAATTTCCACTTTGCCAGAGTGGAAAGCAGCCCTGGTGACCAGGTGCCCAATGCGGCCGAATTCGTTCACTCTGACCTTCACCATCGTGTCTTTGGGAAGAGGCTGCTGCCTGTCACAGGAGGAGGAGCAGAGAGCCTATAGATAAAATTTTATCAAGACACACAATCATAGCATTTCCCCCTGGACAGCATCTACTCCAGAGCCAAGCCCTACTTCTCTGAACTTTCTTCTCATGATCTAATGAGTCCAAATTCCGTAAGTCAATTCCCACACCCTTTTAGATCGCTCATGTTTACTAATGGTGTGTGCTCTTGTTGCAATGAGCAATCAACTCAAATTGTTCAAAGATAAGTATGTTCCTAGTGGCTTTGGATGGCAGAGTTTTGATTCCACTGATATCCTTTGTCTGGTCCAGGATTTAAAAAAAAGAAAAAGAAAAAGCAGAATAGATAGCACTGTCATCCTCAGGTAACCCCCGGCTGCATGCAGGAGGTAGGACACAGATATGTCTGGGCTAACCTTGCGATTCGATCAGGTTCAAATGAGGTACTGACCTGTGGCCCAGAGCTTCAGGGATGGGAAAGAGATCACTAGGAGCTGGGTCTTTGTATTTTCTTTTTCTTCTTTCAGGAAGAGCTTTTGATCAAGGCAGGCCTTAGCCAGAGTCTTCTTAAGTAAAACTTGGAACTTTCTAAGTGGAAGAATGAAACTGTCTAATCTCAGCCTTAGATAGTGACACAAAGTACCTTCCTCATCTGTGCTCACCACAGAGACTATTGGGGGATCAGGTCAGCAGATGGTCATGGGCGGGTATGGGTGGGTGTGCAGGATGTACCCTGAAGGTTTGTGTTGTGGAAGCCTCGGCTCATAGTCAATTGAAATGCTGGCAAGAACAACAGATCTGCTCTGTAGTGAATGTGTTTCAAAAGGAGCCGGAAACTTCCTGAACCTGGGAAAAGATGCTAGGCAGCAAACAACTTCTAAACCATTCCTAAGTAGTATATGTGGGACTTGCTTAGCACTGGTCCTGCCTTATTTAGCGTTCTGCCTGCACTGCAGCTTTGAACACTGCTGCACATATACACAGATGATTTAATTATTATTTATATTAAAACACATCTCCCAACAGCTCCTGGGTGGGCCCTGACATAGTTTTATTCTTTGCTCTTTCTTGGGATTAGGTTAAATAGGGCAGAAAATCTCTTTATCCTGATTTTAGAGGTGTGTGCGTGTGAGTGTGTGTGTGCGTGCGCGTGCACTTGCTTACACGCATTTCCTGCCTGAACTCAGGAGCTCCATGGGGAACAGGATGGTTTTGAGGGGACATTTTTCAGTCTCCCTGGTTTGCAGGAGAGAAGCAACTATTTCCCCCTCACCTGTGCAGCTGGATAGACATGTGGCTGAGGAGTTAGGAGGAGAGTTACCTCCAGATCACAAGCCTGTACAAAACAGCGGTCAGTTCTGGAATTTACTGGGAACCTCACTTAAAGCCATTCATCAGGTAGAAAGACTTTGTGGTGGAAAAACACCCAGGCCTGGAGCAATGGGCTTCTGATGGGCTGGGTCATCCGAAGGTCTCTGTGCAAACAGGTGGCACCAGGGATGCTCTATTCCTAGGAACTCTGGAGGCTGTCTTCTCTTTCCTGTGCTCTGACCAAGTGGCAGGCTGAGAGGACGCTCTGCAGCCAAGCTAGCAGGGAGGAGGAACCATGACTGTCAGAAAGGAGCATTTCAAAGACAGCTCAAAGTCAATTCCTCCCGAAGCTTCGTCGGCCATGATCTCTGTTGTAGTTGCCCTGGGGGTAGTGCCTGGAGTAGTAGAAAGGAAATGCCAAAGACAATCTAGTACACCGTATCACAGGACACTTCTTGGTCCAATTTCCGCCATGGTGGGTAGAGAGCGCATTAGGTAGTACAGGTGAGAGTCGGAGGCTACAGAGGGAAGGCAAGAATGGCATGCATTGGCAGTAGGAGTTCTGGCACTATTCTGGCTAATCACTTTTCCTCCCTGGGCCTCACTTTCCCCATTTGCAAAGTGAAGGTGGCAATTCACTTCAAGGTAGTGACTCAGAGGTAGAAATGAGGAGGTAGAGTGTGAGGTCCCTAGGGGTAGATGGCTGGGAGGGAGGTTAGACACAGGCACACTGATATTTGAGGGGCTGGAGCAAGACTATAAATGAAGGTCCATATGCTCTGCATCTAAATAATTAAAAGGCACAAAGCAAGCTAACAAACTGTTAAAATATGTTCTAGTCGTCAACTTTGAAAAATACGTTCACGATGAGAGAGATTGCTAGAGTGTTGCGTTTCAATGAGAAGTCTCAGACTCCTCCGAGAATTTGGAGTATGGAGCATAGCTGTGTGGATAGAGCTGACCCATGGGCCCTGGCTGTGGCTGTGGCTCTGGTAAGAATGCTCTCCTATGCACAAACCTCCTATCCCAGGGAGAAGCGCTAAGTGCCACAACGCATATCCTTTGTCACAACGCATATCCTTTGTCACAACGCATATCCTTTGTCCTTGCTATGGGCCCGAGGCCCAGCTTCCCAGTCAGTGATCAGTGTGGTAGGGATGCTATGGCAGCCTGTGCCTGGGAGACTCAGGACTCCCTTGATGGCCAACTTCAGCTCAAGACCCTCTGACAGTTTGGCTGGACTTTTTTAGCCTCAATAACCAACAACCTATGGTGTCTCCACCTGACCTCTCCTTCTCTTTTCCACACAAACTCAGACTTACAGTTTCGTCACCAGCTGAAGACTGCCCCGTTTTCTTCAGTTTCCTCCTAATTTCCTTTCACTCAGATCTTTCCTGATAAACTTGTATGGCTCATTCTGCTTTGATGCCTCTTCTCAAAGGACCTGGACTAACACATTGGCCCCCAGCCCACCCTTCACTTTTCTTATCCCTGGATCCTCTTCATCCCCATGAGGTGCCTCATGGGCATGTATAAGGAGTCCCAGGTACCCAGAAGACAGTCTAGAAGCAGGTCCTGGTGGGCAAGTTCTTATCATGTGGTGGTAGAAGAGAGTGTTGTGGATTGGAGCTGGGCCCTCTAATGTGTGAGGAACAGGCAGAGGGCCCCTACCCGAGTCAAGCACGGTATGGGCTAGGAATGCCCTTTTACACTGCCTTCCTGCCACATTATGGCCAGGGCTGCTTAAAGGGTCGTGATGGTGATCTTCATGGTACTTTCTCATTTCTCCTGCCTGGGTGGCTCCCGCTTCATGTTTTGTAACCACCCGGGCGAGGGTAATGAGCACTAAGTCCTTCACATCTCGGTGTTCTTCCACGATCATGAGAGTCTGGTGAAAAACTTGGAGGGAGGAAACAGAGGCTCCAAGGTCGAGTGAATGTTTATACTCAAGTCTTCTGATGCTCTCCCCTGGACTCGGCCATGCGTGATCAGTCAGTGGGAGTGCTCACCAGGCTCAGAGAACTCCCCTTTTGTAGTTTGAAGGTTCCCTTATCCCTGGGAGGTGAACACGTGTTCAACGGAATATATTTCAATCTTGCAGCAGCCTGACTGGGGGAATGGTGGATCAAGACTGTTGCTCCCATATCCAGCAAGTTCCAGCCCCTCAGAACTTATCATTGTACTTGCAGTCTGGGTATCGGTAAGCAAATCGGGGGTCACAGGTCCTCAAGGGCCTCAAGATGTCCTTTAGCTGGCTGGCAGCCCTCAGAATTTCAGAGTCCGGGAGAGTCGCCTGCCCACAGTGAGCGAGCATGTTGTCTATCTCCTTCTGCACCAGAGAGGGGAACTTCCCCTGGAGAAGTCGGGGCAGCAGCTGCCGACACACTTGCACTATACTGTGTTTCTCAGGGATGGCGTCACAGGAGGGCAGCTCAGCTTGACAGCCTGAAACCAGACAACTAAAGATGTCTTTATTCTCCTCGGCCCTGGTGGCTGCCTGGCTGCCTAGAAGAGAAATGAGAAATATTACACACCCATCACCTGATTTCCTTGGGGGATAGTGTCATTTGTCAGGATCGATGGGCAAAGTGGTTTTGTTTCCTAGCATTTTCCTGTCACCAGCACCTTTGGGGCCTGGGGACACAATAGCCCCAAAGAGATCAACATGGAAGTGTTCTGTTATAATAGGAATAGAAAGCCGACTTCTCTTTATCGGAAACGGCCTATAATTGTAGGCGTCACATCCATATGGTTAGTCTCCCATAATTACTGAATTAGGGAAATATTAAGACTAGTTTCATTTGCCCTTTAAAGCTACAAAGTCAGGAGAAAGCACAAGTATCCCAAAATATGCATCCAGTGGTTGTATTGGACTGATGTTTGAATCTTCTGGAATCAGCTTGATCTCTTCTAATTTTATTCTTCTTGGTAAAGGCAAATCAAGAAATGTGTGTGTGGTTGAATTGGTCTGTCCTTGTAGCCTTTTATATAAATACAATCAGAATTCAGAAAAGAAAACCCTTTGTCAAATTCTGGCCTCCAAAAACTTGCTTACCGTTAAAGATGGGATGTTCAACGTCTGAGAACCTTGGATGAGCCCTTGCACATAGGGAGAAATATGATTCACTCATCCACCTCCTTTGGCGCCATGACTTTTAATTAGAAAACTTTAAATAAAGCAAATGTGCCAAAAATGGATTGTAGAATATACCAGTGAATCAGCTAGATATTTCAATTTTAGATAAAGGCTAAAAGCGCCTGATGAGAAAGGCTCCGAGGGCGAGATGGATCTGTGAGTTGTGAGTGTGAGGGTGAGCAGAGGCTGGTCCCTAGGCTGCTTCACAGATCCTTGGAGGACACAGTCAGGGTTGCACAGGAGGTGAAATCCCTCTCTAGAAGCAAGGGTCAAGTACTCCTTTTGGAGTGGGCACTGGAGCAGAGCCTCTAATGGGGAGAGAAAGTCATTTTATATGGCAACTAATATCACTATACTTAGGATGCTCTCTCTCTATCACAGAGACCAGAAAGTATGTCCTCGGTCCTAATCCCCCCACCACCCCCTAGCTTCTGTCACCCTGTGTTTTTCTCTGACAACCACTCATCCAGATCCATGCTGGTTACCTTCCTGCTTGTCAATGACGCCGAGTGTGCTAGCATTCCGGATGAACAGCTGCCCATTGCTGAAGATGCCAAACATGCCCGCATCAACATGGGTGAAGTAGAAAAAATAGTTCAAATCATTGTTCCTTAGCGACTCCAAGACACCGAGGAGCTGGTAGGCGAGGTCGGCTGCCTGGTCTGGGGGTGCACCGTAGAATTCCTGAAATGGTCTCGTGCTGGTGCTGACCAAGACTCTGCCACAGGAGCCCAGGTACTTGGGCAGCGGCCATCCCTCTGCCCCAGGGAAGATCTGTCAAGCCAGAAGGAAGAGGCAGGGGAAGGTTAGGAAGAAGACACTCAGGTAGAAATCTTGGTGTCTGTCTCTCACCAATAGAAAGATCAACCTTACCTAGGCGTCCTTTATCTCCAACCCCGTCAGCAAAATATCTCTCAACTCTTTCTAGCCCTCTTTGAACCTGGCAATATCCCCACCGTGCCCTCTACACACACTTTGTTGTTGTTGAAATCAAACGATTTGGGAAAAAAGATGCTTATTTCCTTGCAGTGGAGATTATTTCTCCAAATGAGGAGTCTCTGAGCACACAAATGGTTGAGAACTTGATTGCTAATTGAAAGGTTGGTGGTTCAAACCCACTCAGAGGCATCTTAGAAGGAAGACCGGATGATCTGCTCCCCAAAGGCCACAGCCATTGACAATCCAATGGAACAGTTATTCTCTGACACTCATGGGGTCCCCATGAGTTGGACTGGACATGATGGCAACTGTTTTTTTTTGGTCCCTAAGTGTGGTATAAATATCCTAATGGGCTTGCCATGGTTTTAGGATTCAAGGGAATGTGTTTTAATTTGAGTCGTGTAGTCAACAAAATATGACTAGTATTTGAGATGCCACAGATATCATCGTTTAAAAAACTAGTTCGTTTATCTTGAACAGCTTCACCGATGCACAACTCACATATCGTCTATTTCAGTTGTTCAGTCACAGTCATAAGGGTTGTGCCACCATCACCACCGTCAAGTCCAGGACGTTTCTTCTTCCTTGTACTCGCCGTTGTTAGCTCCCCATTGCCCACCAGCCTCGCCCCCCCTGCCCCCCCCTCCCGGCCATGTCCCTTAGAATCTATCAGATCAGCTGTTGTCTCTATCGGTTTACCTTATCTTGGTTTCATATAATACAGGAAAACACCAAAAAATCAAGACAAACTACAAATAGTCCAACGAAGACAAAATGAAACAGAACAACCTCAATCAAAAACAAAGCAGAAAATATTAACAACTGGAGCATTTATACATTGGCTCAAGAGGGAGATCAATGACAAGGTGTCACATTTTGACCTAACCTCAATTGCAGTAAACCACCTGCAATGTCCTCTGGTTGATGAGAAGGCCTTTTGAAACTCTGGTCCACAGTCAGAGGGGATTCACCAGAGGCTTAATTCACAATACCCTGCAAATTAGTTTTGAGCTTACCTAAAACCACAGGCTTCTGTAAACCAGATGTTCAAAATTTAAGTTCTGATACCTTTCCTTCCTTCAGATCTGGGTTTTATTATTTACAATTCTTGGGCTGCTGTGTGCTCCTTCTGTGTGAACTTAGCCAGTGTCTCACTTACATGGCTGGCTGTTTTAATACAAACCTTTAAGGCCCTAGGCACTGTTCTTTCTGGGAGCTGGGCACCACCTGCTTTCTTCATCACACTTTGCTATCACACCCATATCTTCATCGATCAATTCAGGAGGACAGGTGCTGAGAAGGGTTATGTCACAAGAACGAATTGTTCTCAGATTACAGGTATGAGATATCATTACTTAGGAAGAGACCATGGCAAAGAGGATCATTTAAAAGGCTTACTTGAAGACAAACTATTTTTAAATAGTAGTCTAGGTGTTTGGGGATAAGACAAAAATCCTGAAGCTGGCCCTTGGATAATCAGGAAACCACTGCACAGGCTGGTCCTGGGAGAACCTGCCTGGCTCAAATAGATGCTCACAGATGCTCTCTCCCTGACTGACCCTTCCTGACAGCCCAGCACCAGTCTCCAGCAGCACATAGATCCTGGCCTGCTCTTCTGGCTCCTTGAAAGAGCTCCAGGCATATGGATTTGTGAGGTGACAAAATCAAGGAAGGAATTCTATCTAGCATTTTTGACTGCGTATGGAAGCAGCTATATCTAGAATGACATTTCTTTAAACTATAAAGGAAATGAAGGGAGTCTGGTGGTGCAGTGATTAAGTACTTGACTGCTAACAAAAATTTGGTGGTTCAAATCTACCAGCTGTCTGTGGGAGAAAGATGTGGCAATGAGGGAAATGACAGGAACTATAAATACTTACCACTTTCCCCTAGCTTTTCCTTCTTAAAAAAAATGAAGTCAGCCCCTTTCTGGTGAGTTTTGTATTCTGTGCGTTCTCATCTGCCTGCCACATTTGTGAAGAACACATGTCTATGTGCTCTTAACATTTTCTTAATTTCCCAGAGGGGCCATAGAGGGGATACTAGGTCTACTGGTGATGTCTCTGTGTGTGTCCATGGAGACACTCCTAGGTGGGTTATGGTCCAAGCCAGGCTGAGTGATGGCCTTTAGTGACAGTCTCCTCCAGCTCAGCCTCTCAGGGGCCAGCTGCCTCTGCCCAGTTGATACCCTTTAGCTCTATATTTTACTAATGGTTTTCTCTTTCACTTTTCTTCCTCCTCTTCGGCCCCTTCCTCATCTTCCTCTTCCCTTATTCTTGGTCCTCCCTCCCAATTCCTAGTTTCTTCTGCACCTATTATGTGACCCTTGTGTCCTGACCCTTGGGGTTTGGTGGAAATTGGTGTGATTGGACTGACTCCACATGGTCTATGAATGCTTATGGTGCTGGTGAAGAATATTCAAAGTACCATGGATTGCCAAAAGAACAAACAAATCTGCCTTGAAAGAAATATGGTTGGGAGGGAGGGAGGGAGGGGAAAAATGAGGAGCTGATATCAAGGGCTCAAGCAGAAAGCAAATGTTTTGAGAATGATGATGGCAACAAATGTACAAATGTGCTTGACACAATGGATGGATGGATGGATGGATGGATGGGTTGTGATAAAATGATTTTAAAGAAATAAATAGGTAAACAACAAACAAAAAAGAAATATGGTCAGAATGCTCTTTAGAGCCAAGGATGGTGAGACTTCAAATCTTGTACTTTGGACATGTCATCAGGAGAGACCAGTCCCTGGGAAAGGCCCTCATGCTTGGTCAAGTAGACCGGCAGTGAAAAAAAGGAGGACCTTGTCCAAGGCGGATTGACACCACAGCTGCAGCGACGCGCTGGACCGTAGCAAAGATCGTGAGGATGGCTCAGAAACAGGGAGGGTTTCTTGTGTTGTACATGGGACTGCTGAACCCGAACCGCCTCCGCGGCGCCCAACAACAAACACTGACTGACATTTAAGTTACTTGCATTTCGCGGTCCCTAGCCGCAGGGTACACCCTCTGCAGTCGCTTCTTGGGCTCCTGTCGTCTTCTCCTGAGCATGCCTAAATCTTACTGCTCTTTGAGGCACAGGTCAAAGTGGCCGTCAGGGCTGCCTCAGGTCCTGAAGGTAAGCTATTGTTCCTGTCCCCGCATCTTCGTCCCCCATCCTACAGCAGTCGACACAGGAGAAGTCAAGGTAAGCCACAAAGGTTTTTTTTTAATGGGTTGATAACCATGAGGTGTGCAGTGGCGGGCCTGAGGGTCTGCAGAAGTGGTGCTCCCAGTCTCCTGGGTCCTGGAAGGGGCACCCTGCATACCTGTAGAAGGATCGGGTGCGCGTTGACAGCCAGCGTGTAGAGCAGCCGCAGCTTGTCGCGATCCGTGAAGTGGTCCATGAAGATGCTTCCGGCATCGGCCACCTCGGCATAGCGCCGGACCACGCGGTCCAGAAGTCGCTGAGACGGGCAGCGCAGAAAGGGGCTGGGCAGGCCCTGTAGGGGTGTGGGGGAGAGCCCCAAGATGGGGGAAAGGATGCTGAGTGCTGGCGGTAGTAGGCAGGAGGCGTAGGGGGAGTGGGGAGGGGGTGGGCAGGCGCTTCCCCCGGGAGAGACTTGGTGATTAGAGACCCGGGAAGGAGCCAAGCGGGGCACGAGGGGAAAAGACTCCTGCGGCAAGGCAGTGGAAGGTACCGAGAGGGATAGCGCAGGGCACCAACGGGGGCAAGCGAAGGGCCAGAGGGAGAGAAATTCCCGTCTGGCAGGGGACAGGTCCTCCTCATCCCACCCTACTCCACCCCAGATCTGGCCTTAGAAAGGCAGCCTTCGCTTCCTTCCTCCATCACACACCCACCTCCTAATCCTAGGTCTCAGACGGAATTAATATGAACAGCCTCCCTGTAACCAGCTCTTCCAATTTCCTCTACTATTTCACTACCAAGTTGCTAGGTGCTGTGCATTTTGACTCCTGGCAACCCCATGTGACAGAGTAAAACTCCCACAGGATTTGCTAGGCTGTCATCGTTACGGGAACAAATCACCAGTTCTTTCTCCCTCAAAGCCACTGGATGAGTTTGACATTTAGCAGCTGAAGATTTACCTGTTGCTACATTTTCACTGCCATCATACCATCATGGGGATGCTACACGTGGGCATCTGTAGATGGGCCATTTTGTTCTTTTTATGGGGATCATTCTAGGGGATTTTCAGGAGGATTCATTTGAGGAGGCCCTCACGTTAAAATCTAATTTATGGTGACACATTTATTCCTAAACAAGTCAAAGCCAAGACAAAGACAAGTCATTCATAAGAGGGAGACCAACAGCATGGGCCATCATGATGTCTAAGGACCCACAGAAACACAGCCACCTAAACAGGACTTGGAGAAGGAAGGAAACTGTCACAAAAGCAATTCATCAAAGTTGTGGGCTGGACTACAGAAGTGGGAAAGGGACCATAATTGGGATATGTACAGATTAATCGATTATAGATTAGAAAAATTTACAAGATTGATTCAGGGCCATTCCACAAAGGCAGTCAAGGATGACTCATGACTATGTGGCCCTAGGATCCCAATTTCCATCAAGGGCACCCCTAGACTGGTCCCTGAGGGTGAGGCTGCCCCTCCCTGAGCTGGTTAAAAACAAACAAACAAACAAACAAACAAACAAACAAACAAACAAACAGAACTCACGTCCTTAGAGGTGATTCAGTGTGGTCGTAATACATTTTCAAACAAACTCTAAGGGCGAAGCTTTTCATATTGCTGGGCCAATGGTCAGAAAGAATTCATTGGAAGCTGAATCTATGTGGAGACTTAAAAATTGGTGTCGAGATAACACTGCAAACCTAGTGCTCATAGCTTAAACTCTACTATAGGAACAACATTTAGAGACATGCATTTAAACTTAGTTTTCATAACTTTCAGACCTTTCTCCTCATACTGAAGGGAAAAGGCAATGCACTTGCTAAGAAAAGGGAAGAAAAGAAATACAGGTTAAGGACAGGGCCTTAGTGCCCATCTACTTATAAAAATTCAACCTGGCTTCTACACCTAAATCTTGCGCAAGCTACATAATATAGAGTGAGGGTGACAGTTACCATACCCTAGGGCAGTGGTTCTCAAACTGTGGGTCGCGACCCCCTTGGGGATTGAATGACCCTTTCACAGGAGTCGCCCACTTCATAACAGTAGCAAAATGACAGTGATGAAGTAGCAACGAAAATAATTCTGTGGTTTGGGGGGTCACCACAACATGAGGAACTGTATGACAGGGTGGCGGCATGAGGAAGGTTGAGAACCACTGCCACTGCCCCAGGGGCTCAAGAGGATAAGTTAGGAGATGTAAAATACCTAGAATAGAGTCTGGTAGGTAGTAAGTACTCAATACATGCTAGCAGCAGTTATGAAATTTAAACTAACAAACAAAACCCTGCCAGAAGGGAAAGTAGGGATGATAGCCAAGGAACATTGGCCTTGTGAGTGAGAACAGTATTTTCCAGTTCTGAAAGGCTGACTTTGAAGACCATAAAACATGCTGGAAAGATCGAGAACATAACATTTGTCCACGGACTGTGGATTTACTGGATTCCCATCTAGTGGAGGCTTAGCAGGGTGAGCCGTTGGAGTAAGCAGCTAACGACAGTCTCTAGAGCGCTGGGCACTGCAACATGTGTTGAGGACAGCAGCTCGGAATCCTTGGGTCACCCCACCAGAGAACGAGGAGTGTGGAAGTACCTTGATATTGTCCATGGAGAGGACATGCACAGCCCAGCAGGTCAGGAAGACCATCCATCTTATTTTGCTTGGAATCAAGGATTTTCATAGGATACAGAGCTAGCTCTCAGGGGTAACCCTCAGGAAACTGTGATGGGTGGTCAGACTACAGGGTCACAGTTGGACCATGGTTGTGGAAAGAATATTCTCCTACCTCCAGATGAGGACCAGGAAAGATCAGCAGAGGCTTGTCAAATGACCATGGCATCAGAAATCAGAACTCCTGGGAGTTATGTGTAGAGAGTATTCGGGAACCCCAAGGGACTGTGCAAGACAGGAATTGCGAAACAGTATTTAGATGGCACTTTTCACGTCTCAGAGAAGAAGGGACACGTGCTCAGTTTGTGCACAGATAAAGAACATTCCATTTTGTGCAGCTTTGAAGTTTGTAAGTTTGTGGAAGGTGTAAGTGTTTACAGCTGGGAGGAGAAAGGACTAATCCACCATGTGACAGGTATTTCATGTAAAGTTCCCTATTTAGTCCTCCAAGGGCCCCCATGGGGTCAGATGCTTCAATCTGTAAATGAGGAATTGAAAGTTTGCAGAGTGTGGGTAAGGGTTGGACAGTTGGATCCAATATTTGAACCCAATGGGTGAAGCTGTGATATCCACAGATTTTCCACTGTAATAGGTCCTGTCCCAATCCCATAAACTAGCCAGGTGGAGACAATACAAGTTGATTTTAGAAACTATGGGAAGATCTCTTTACTTTTGGGTGTCTTGCCATACATAGCCTGACATTCTTCCATTATAGACAGTCTTTGAGAAGTAAATTCAGGCATACTTTGCTTTTGTTTTTATTCTGATTAGAAGGGGATTTACATTTCAGATCATCAATTTTGTATTCAACAAGTTAACCAACTTATCTAACTCCCCATTAGGTAACCATCCCTCTTTTCTCCTTTGGTTTCTCTTCTCCCTCTTGTGAATTGCTATTTTCTCCTTCATCCAAGTTAATACCTGTCAACCCTCCAGCTTCATCTTCCCTTCCTTCCCCACCCCTCCTCCCCGTGGTGACCCCCAAAGTCTGGTTCCTTTGGTATGAAAGTCTTTGTCTTGTTGTGTTTCTCTTTATAAAAGTAGTCTCACATAATGTTTGTCTTTTTGTGATTGACTAATTTCACTCAACAAACTGTTCTCCAAGATGTCGATCCATGCCATGAGGTGGGTCATCATTTTGGTTTAGCAATGCATACTGTTCCACTGTGTGCACATACCAAAATTTCTTTATCCTGATGGGCATTTAAGCTGTTTCCATCTCTGGGATTTTCAGCTAGGTGTTTTTATCCAGGTTGAGTTTATTTTTATATTTGGGTGAGGTATGATCTTGTTTCTTTCTGCAGACCAGGATCCAGTTTTGCCAGAGTTATTTGTGGAGAAGAAAAACATCTATTCTCCATTTAATTTCCCCCTCTTTGTCGAAGAGCCCTTGTCTGTAGGTGAATGGATTTATTTCTGGGTTCTCTGTTCTCTTCTATTGGTCTATCTATCTGTCTTTATATCAGGATTAAATGACAATGCTAATCTTTTTGTTTTGACAAACTATCAAAGTTATATGTAAGGTGTAAAGGGCTTACAGGAACCCTCTGTATGATCATTTTAACTGCTCCACAAAATTATATTATTCCAGAATAAAAAGTTGTTTTTGAAAATTAGATATTAACAATAATAAGAAAAGAAAAAGTTTACCCAAATGCCAGTCTTTCAATTTGTCACAAATGGGCATTACTTAAAAAAACAAAACAACCCCCCCCCAAATAACCCCTCCCAACCCGGCTGTCATTAAGTTGATTCCAATTCCTGATGCTCTCTGTGTGTCTGGGTAGAACCAAGCTGCACAGGCTTTTCAATGTCTAGCATTTCATCCTTGTGTCGAAAAAGCCGACCAGGTGTGCAAACTAGAATATTGATGTTATTGATTCTCCCTGCCTCAGGTCCTTTCCACCAATGATGAGACCAAATGAGAAATCATCTAAAAGGCCAGTTCTCTTGTAGGTGGTATTATTAGAACCCCCAACCCATCTGCCAAAGTCCACTGCAGACGATACAAAGCTTCCAGCACTGGAACAAGGAAAGCCGGTCTTTCCAGATCCAATTTTGGCAGCTCCAAGCACATCTGCACCTTGCAAAGCCAACCCGATGGTCTGCTTCGGCATGTCAGTCACCAGTAGTACCGGGCTTCTTGCAAACTGTTCACTGTTGCTTTGGACAAAGATAAATCTGAAAACCTTGTAATTCCATTTAAATTTATCTTCTTGTCGTTTTGCCGGAGGCTGCTGCTAACCTCACGTTCCACCTGCCACTAAGGCGTCTTCAGTTGCTTCCTTGGCGGCTGCTTTTGGCTCTATGAATGGCCGTGTTTCTTCTCAGGATTGAAGCTCTGCACTGGGCGGGGTCAGCCTCCCGGATCAATGATGACCAGGAAAACACCGGTGACTTGAGTTCCAGAGGGCATAGCAGCGAGCAGTCACTCCATTGAATACGTTTTTTGGATCATTTATGTAGGACATACTGGATCTTTTCATCATTTGAAGGTCCTCCAAATCCCAGGTTATTTTAACTACTGTGGCTCTGTGGTAGGTTTAGAAGTCAGGTGTAAATCATTGATTTACACTTTCTTGATTTCTTTTTCTGAGCACTCATTGTATATAGGAGTCTGATAGCTTTTGTTGTTGTTAGTTTTGTATCCTGCCACATTGCCAGATATTTGACAGTTTCC